TAAGATTCCCGAAAACTGAATGTTTTACAAGATATTTTGTATTTTATGTCAAAATACTGTAACTTTCAAGACAGATTTTTTCAGACAGATTTTGAATTTATTAGAATTCCTATTAATGCAACAAGATTATGGTAGATTCAACCAGAATTTGGTAGATTCAACAATCTGTTTGGTTACGAGCTAACCAACTCAGGTTCTGGTTGAATCTACCAGATTCTGGTTGAATCTATTAGAATCTTGATGCATTAATAAGAATTCTGGTAAATTTAACCAGAATCTGATAGATTCAACTAGAATCTATCTGTTTCGTTCAAAATTGAACAGACAATTTGTTGAATTAAACAAAATATTCTTCTTAGTGCTGAAAAAATCTCAAGGAGATTTAATAACAGGTCCGTTCCTATCTTTACATCTCTCAGATCAACGTAATATTTCATTAGATACGTATAGACCTAATGGGCTTATTCTCGTGGAGCACATAATTTCATTACTGATAAAATTGATTGAATTTAAGCTCAACTTATTTTAGCTCTTGTAACACGCTCTTATGGTACGATAGTGCATATTATTTTTGTTGTTGTTGTGTTTATGACTGTCACTTTTGTGTTATTTATAAAATGGAAGCCACCCTTATCTGTTTCCTGGCAAACTTATTAGAGACCAGCTTTTTTACTTACATCTAAGTGTTCAGGACAATCCGTCCACTGCGTCTCCTGTTCTTCATTGGTCTCGTACGTAGGCCTGTGCAAGTTTGGCAGATCTTCCCACGAAAAATTCAGTTTCACTGAATTCTGCTCATCATCAATCTGTTGATTATAAAAATTCATTTAATTCATTTAAAAAGCAGTTTTTTATATATACTATATTATATCCGAACATTGGATATACATATATTCTATGTCCTTAGCAAGTATTTAATTATCAATTAATAATTGTAATTTTGATTTTACTTCTGTATTAATGTTTGTAATTTCTGTAATTGTAATTTTAAAAAATGTATAATCTATACAGCAAGATCAAAAAATATTATTGCAATAGAAAAAATTATATAGCTTATAACAATTAACTCTTAAAAGTTCGGCTTTTAAAACATTTATATTAATGAATACATAATTGTCGATTTATATTTAATGCAAATAAAAATTTACTTGTGAAACTACAATTGAAATCTTCATGATAATGTTAATATGTGTATAATATTAATAATATAAGATAATATATATAATTAATATAAGCACTAACTTTTTCTGTTTTATGAAAAAATGTACACTTACATTTGATTCTTCCCATATCTTCTGCCTTTCTCGCTTCTCTTTTTTCCATCTTACTTTCAATGGAAATTGAACTGCCCGTCCAAGATTTGGCGGGCCTCTTGAACAGGTTAAGTTCAATGGAAGATCACAGTTCTGTTCACTTTGCTGATTGTGACGAAGAGATGAGCATTCTGGAATAAACATATCGGTAGTTGAGAAGTTTTATGGCGATCATTGCGTATTGTTAGTACATTGGCTTTAAAGAGACATCGTTAATTCTTCACTATTATTTAACATGTTTGCAAGTGGCATCCTAATACGAATACTCAATCCTACATTTGAATGTTTTCGATACATTTAATAGTCTTCGCAAATGATCTAATAATTTACTACGTTGACAGAAAAAATCCACCTGGATACGAGATAAATTACAAGACATCTTTGAACAGTTACAATTTTACCACCGTTCATGGAAGTTGAATATCAATATCAGCACAATATCTATCATAAATTAGCATACTGAATTATATTACACATCACATATATAGAATTATTTTTCGCGAAAGACAAATATAATTGTCTGCGTAATTTTTATCTGCATGTTGAACAATAAAATTACAATTATAAAATCGCGATTATTTGACAAATAATAATAAGAAATAAATTATTGTTTATATTTCAAGATATTATTTGTTTGATATTGTTTCTATTTCAGCTGCTTTTCAATTTAATCGTCATTTAAATCAATCACGCGAGTTTGACGAGCATTTGTACATACATACAATGCGTGCATATATGAAGACATACATATGTAAGAGTCTATATATACATATGTATATACGTAAATATGTGTAAATATATAACGTCAATCACGGAAACAGTGACCTCACTTGGTTGCAATCTTAAAGTATGTGTCGGATGTACGCTCGGCACGTAACGTTTATCTATTGCTTTGTAGCAGATAATGATAAATGACGACTGGTTAGCAACATGCATATATGTACAAGTTGTATTATACATTCACAAGAAGAATGTGATATTTAATTATCTAAACATTTTCGCGAAATCTAATAACTCGTCCATAACAAGAAAAAGCATTCTGCACTGGAATTAGTAATGTTATTTGCAATTAACTAACAATTAACTGTTAAAAATACAAACAATATTAAGATTTGCTCTTTTTTATTAAACAATAATCGTATAATAACAACAAGCTATTAAAGCAGGAGCTGGTTAGAATTGCTCAAAAATTTATTTTATTAAAAATATAACAAACGTTTCGGCTTAAGGAATGTGGCTATCTTCAAAATTGTGTAAAAATTTTTGACATAAATGTTAAAGTTGTAGATATAACATAACGATGATAAGCTAATTAAGCAAAAAACGCTCTCCAACAATGATTGTGACTCTGGTAAAATATCCTGTTAATGTGAAACGCATCAGATTTATAGGAACGTTTTTAGTGTGTGTGAAGCTGGCGTATCATTTCACGGAAACTCACAAATAATTATGAGTTCTGGCTTTATTTTCAATAGTTCTAGAGTTCTTGATAGTTTAAACAAATAGTTCTGGCCATTAAACCAACAAAAATGCCTCAGGACAAACTGATCTATAGATATAAGGATTCTTGTTCTTATTTTATTCTTATTGATATTTTTTTGCTTATACATGTTTTTTTGGTATTTTTTAAAAGATTTATAGTTCTATAAGAGTTCTAAGAAGAGTTCTGCCTTCTAAAAGCAAAAAAATATCAATAAGGATAAAATAAGAACAAGAATTCTATATCTATAGATATTATTGCTTATATATATTTGTGCTTATACAAAGTGAGTCATTTTAATCTATGGATCCGAATATCTTCCAAATTACGGTATCTACAAAAAAATGGTTTAGATAAAAGTTGACCAGGACAGAGGGAGTCATTTAATTGTACCATTGGTTTTGACCTTGAGGTTTGACCTTGAGGTCAATTTTGAAGGTTATTTCAAGGTCACAATGGTTTTTTTAAATGGGACACCCTATTTTTGACTACGGATTTCGAAAAAGCGGAAAATTTTACATTAAACTTGTCTTATAAAAAATATGTTCTTGCGACCTTGGAAAGGTCAAAAATAAAGGTGAAATGCCTGAAAAACGATCTGGTGTAGTTTTTCTGAAATGACGTAGTTTTCTGGGTAACACAAATGTGCATAATGCTTAAACAAAGTCAATGAATTGTAAAAGTGTAAATCACTTTGACTAGCTTGACCTTGAGGTCAATTTTCAAGGTTGTTTGAAGCTCATAACGCATTTTTTGATTAATAAACCCTATTTTTGACTGCTGAACCTGTTTCTTGACAATGGGCTCTCAAACAATGGCACTTTTTACATAAGCATAGGGATTTTTTAGTTTTTGACCTGACCTTTTGAAGGTCATATCAAGGTCAAAAGCACTTTTATCTTACTTTTAGCGTTACCCGGAAACAACGACGTGGACATAGTAAGTTCTGTTTCCTTTAGGGTGCTTGATTATCGGTCAATAATTATAAAAATGTTGTTTTTGCTGAACGACCAACCACAAGAGATGATTTTATGGACCGCATTCGTAGAGCTTGTGCAGCCATTCCTAGAGCTACCCTGCTTAGAACTGTGGATAGTTTTCAAAACAGATTGCAGTTATGCCTCGAAGCCAACGGAGGTAATTACTATGCAAAGGAGGTAAATACTGTATTTTGCTCCAAACTATTACGCTTTTTATTGTATTTGTGCGCGCTGATTACGAATATGACCATATCAATTGGCGACAAGGTCATTTTCAAAGTCAAAACTTAAAAAAAACTACAAAAATTATCATTTCTTTAACATTATTTTGATAAATAGTATATATAGGCGTTAAGCCTAAGGAATTGTGTTCGACTGGTGAGAAGTGAGAGAGAGTCAATGGTGTAGAAATGTGTTTATTTCTTTGTCAGAGAGAAGTATGTATGTACAAGTGTGTGTGTAACTTGAGTGCGCCAGCGGCGCACTCGCGGCAGAGTGTAAGGCCGCGAGTTTCGAATGAAAGGTGACGGGCGCGGTAAGATATTACCGGCCGCGTCTGCGTGGTTGGAATCGAGTCCTTAACAGGACGATTCATACGAGGGTGCGTGTTGCATCCCGGCGGCGAGGTTTGCGTTGCGGTGGAGTATGTCTCCGTTGTGCCATGCGCTGCGACCGTCCGGCTCTCGATGTGAGTCGCAAGTGAGTCTGCGAGCCGAGCGGGAGAGGCCTTCGCATTCGGATGTCCCCGGAACGTGAGTGTCACGTTGGGGGCCGAGTCAACCGGGCACAGAACTCTAAGGGAATTATTTTCCGCTGTAGAGTCTGTGGTGGCGACGGCGATGCTGGTGCGTCAGCTGACCGTAGCTGTACATCCTACGTGAGGTGTGCGGTCAGAGCTGAGACTGAGTCTTTCGCTTCCGTGCCTTCCCAGGCACTGTGAAAAGTCGAGAAGACTTGCTGGTCGCGCTCTTCGAAGCAGAGCTGTGACTCCGTTCAAGGGCCCTTAGTGAGAGCTCGCCTTGAAGCGAGTGAGTGAGTAAAGATCTGCGGAGCAGCTCTTTTATATCTCGTCGATCGAAGCTTGATCGCGAGAAAGCTCTTCACCGCCTGCGCAACCTGGCGGTGGGTCCGCAAGCTTATAACTGGTAGAAGGCCTGCGGCGCGTAGCGGCGCCGCGGCGTATTATGCCGCTTCAGTAAGCTGTGTGGCGGTGAGCCGCCACAGGACCCCCTTGGCAGTTTTTAAGCCTGAAAACGAGTAGTTGGTTTTGATGTTTTGCCGCTCCTCTTCTTGTCGGCTGTGGAGGGTCTTGACTGCTTGGCTGCGGCTGGTTCTATTGGCTGCTTGTGGTCGTCCCTGACGTATGCTGACTTCAATTGGTCTATGTGGACGTTGATTGGCTTGTCGTTGACCAATAGCCCGTAGACTTTTTGTTTGTTGTACGACTTGATAAGGTCCGTCGTATGGCTGCTGTAGCGCCCTGGT